CGAACCGGGCAACAGTTTCAATCAGAGAGCGAGCCGAGCTTTGGGCAGAATCGGCCCATGCTTTGGGCTCCGCAAGTTCGGCAGGAAGCCAAGAAGAAGGAGGATCGACTCAAAGATCAGCTGAACAGGCAGCAGGACTGCGCGGAATTGGAATTCTACGCTGGGTTGGTCGAGCACAGTTTGTTTTTTGGCACTCAACACATGGGGAAGTTAGTTGATCGGGGAGAGCGCAGGGAATGAAGGGCGAACTGTGATACACCCAAGTGTTCGAGCTTCGTCACAGGTAGTTGAGCACTGATCAGGTCAATCCACAAGCCCTCTCTTGCGCGGTCCAGAAGCACCTTGCGCTCATTCCTTTCGGAAGCAACACTGACTCGTGACAGATGACAGTTGCAGTCATAGAAGTCTACCCCTCGACCTGGGTACTAGTAGCAGAAAGTACGGACAGCCCTGCGATTTTATTTTCTTTCTCTGCATGGTTTCCGTAAGCCCAAAGCTGAATGCATTCTGAAGAAGACTCATTTAAGCAGAGTTTCTTTTTGCTATGTATTCGCTTAGTATTTGGGGGAACTCTCCTGCCGCGGAGGCACGCGTAGGCAATTCTGGTGGGGAAAACAATCGCGCAGGCAGTCCGTGTGGGCTGTTCAAGAAATTCCTGCGTAGGCAGGTTCGCGCAGGCATGTTTTGCCTGACACAAACTTAAGAGTATAAACCGCCGAGAAAAGTCTGCGAAGACACTCCGCGTCGAGGTGTAGGCTCTCTTCGGCACCCTTCCAGTGTGTTACACACCGGAGCTTCGCGCAAGCATGGCCGCCAGTGAGGGCCGATTTACCCAAACACACTCTACTCATTTGAGCTGGTTAAACCGGTTAATATCTTCACTCCTCACTCCAAACGGAGGTTTTGCACCAGTGACCCTCAGTTGGTTGGTGCTGTACATTGTGAGCCGGACAACATGACCTGTGGCCAACAATTGAACTCTCGGGGTGGCATCCAGCTTGCCCAAATCCCAATTTGCAGGTGGTGTGAGCACATGCGCTTGCTGTCATTTCCATGAGCTATGATTGAAAGCAAGCACGGGGTAAGAACATTGTTTGCCTGTTTGTGTTTGGTTTGCGTGTAAATGGCACCGGAACCCTTATCCTTATCATCCCCCTGTGGCGACTGTGGAGTCCCTTCGCAGGAGAAGCTGCAGCGTAAGGAGCACCGAAATCTCGAGAGCTCCACCATGCGCGCTTTGGGGTATCGCTTGCCGAACGGGGAAGGCCTTCGTATGGTTTTTTCTCCGGGAGTGGCGCACATCGCGCGTGGCCATGGGCACTTGAGTCCTTGATTCCCCTCGGCTTGGGGCCCCGACTTAGCCCCGTCGGAGCTGACAGGCTCTTTGCGAACATGTGCAGTCGCACCCGAACGGGTGCAAGCTTTGAAAGGAAGGGACATAGATGCGCTCAATGCGCAAGAGAACCAGTTGTATTGTCAGAGTATCCGCGAGAACTGCGCACTTCTTTGTTAGATGATTCTAAGCTGATCACCATCAATTCTATGGTTCAAACTGCCACAATCAGAATACCATCGATCATCCGACATGCTCCCAGCTTGACTTGTGACGTAGCTGAGACTGGAGAGGTACCAGACGATGATGGATGCTTGCTTGGGCGCTGTCAGCAACACTGGTCCCAGCCCAAGACCCATTGATCAGTGCGCCGGAAACAGATAGACGCTTTCCCAAATTGACGGATTGGGGTTGTTCTCGGGACCAGTGGAGGGATTTCGGAAGCCTCACTATGTCAGCGGGTCGAGCCAAGGATAGCTTGTGCCTCAGATTGCAAGCTTAAGGGAGGACAAATTCTCTCGTTGCGCCAAGGCTTGAACACTTGGCAGCTGAGGTAAGACCACTACCACAGCTTCTACCACGGACACAGCTGCTTCCAAAGGCGCGCAGACACCATTGGAATATGTGATGCGATGCACCGACATATGAAGTACAAGTGCACATATATATATATATATATGCATGGTCCCCCCCCATGAACTACCTTTCCTGCAGTGTATCAAACAGTGTTAAAAACACTGTTATTTTTTAAATCATAACAACATTTAAAGCAAAACGGATTCCGTTACGCGGTTGCATTCCGATAATTGTAAAAAGTTAGCAACCACCCTCAGTTTTTGCATTGTTGTACTAAATGTATTCAACAAAAACACCCTGTTTTTAGCAACATTTGCAATTTAAATGGAGATAATGAAGGCGCACAATCAAACAACTCATCAATATGGACCAAAAACCCAAAAAACAAAAACCCACAACTCTGAGGACAAGTTTTGGTTTTGCCAAACGATATTTTTGGTTTTCTCGAAGTTTTTTGTCTTTGTTTTTTTGGTTTGCCTCGAGTCTTTTTGGTTGTCTGTGTAAACACCTAAAAATAACTGGATAGAAAACCAAAAACAACTCGAGAAAACCAAACAAACAAAGAACATCCAGTTTTTTGTAGGTTTCTACTCAGAAAACCCAAAAACGCCTCGAGAAAACCAAAAAAAACAACACTTTTGGCAAAACCAACACTTGTCCTCAGAGTGTTTCTTTTTCTTTTTTTGTTTTTTTTTTGGTTTTCTTGAGTTTTTTTTGTTTTCTATCAAATAAGACTACAAACCAAACATATATTGTTTTATAAGGTGACCACTATATACAGTACGTATAGAATAAGGCATATTTGTTCCATATATCTTTCTCTCGGACTTTGTCATCGCAGGACAGACAAGATCACTTCTGAATGTACTTCGTCATCAGAAGATTCCACTCGGTGCTAGGTCGAGGGGCAGTAACTTTCAGTTGCTTCCCATACGACATTGGCTTAATACTCTCATTTATGACCGGGTCTACAAGCCATCCTTCAATGAACATAGATCGATTTATCAAAATCTGGGTTGCCTTTCCGGACCCCATGAATTCTGGCACATCACCTGAGAATCGCTCTCATTCCAATGCACAGCGACCATGATATGACTGGAAGCGGCAGACTCATGTAGAGAGGAACAGAAACGTGCAAAGATGATCTGAAGAGAAGATGTCTCGGAGGATTTGACCTCCAGACGAGGGGGTGACCTGCTGACGAGGAGGTGACCTCTTGTCGAAGAGGTGATCTTCGACGAAGATATGGTGCTTGGATATGCAGCCTACGTGCTATGTAATTAGTGAACTTAGGCGACTTGCCAAGCTGTTCGCAAGTCGCCTAACCTGAGTTAGTAAGTCTGCCAAGTCTGAATTAGCAGACTTATTTACTCAAGTTAGACAACTTGTATGCGGATGAGCACATCACCTAAGTTCACAAACTACATAGAACGAAGGTCACCCATCCAAGCGAGGAACAGATGATTTCTTGATGTACATTTGAGGATATTAGCTTAGATGTTTATATGATTTGCTTGATTACAGATGCAGATGTTGGATGGTTTGGGAGGAAGTCTCACAGATGACGAACTTGAGTGCAGATGAGGGCTTGCAGTGGAAAGGTAGTTCGTGGGGGGGGGGGGGGTGAGCTAAATATCTATATATGTCATATACTGTTATAAAGTATGTGTATGTATAGTATATACACAAACATATATACATGTGATCTCGGGCTCCGGGTTGATACCCCTCCCCCCAAAGCTTATGATGTTTTGAGGCTTCCAGCGAGGCACAGCTCACGGTGACCCTGCCTTTGACTCACAGCATGAGCTTGGCTCCACATGTTCCCTTCTCCGACCCCCCCCCTTAATGGCAGCGGAGCCTCAGCAAAGAGACACGGAAGAGGGGGCCCCAGGATCAAGGGGGGGGGTTGCGCCAGTCGGCTTGCAGGCCCAAGCTCGAGAACATCTCAGGCGGAGAAGGGAAGCGCAGATAGGCGTGTCATCTTTCTGAGTTGCTTAAGGAAACCAGGGGTTGCCCTGTCGAAAGGCAAGCCTCTTGCGTGCGGTGTGTTGGGGTAGCCGCTGAGGCGGCGAGGCTCTCAGGCGAGCAATCCAAGATTTGCCGTAAAAAGGGGAGTGCCCAAATGATGTGGAGTAAATGTGGGGATAGACGCCCCAAACTCCCCGTGACAGTAAGAACCATCGGCAGGTAGGGCAGGACCCTTGGAAAAGCGAGCTGGTTTGGCGGCGGCTGTTTGCAGGCTACGCCCACCAACGCTTCGGCGTACGGTGTCCCAGAACGAGCTGTAATTTGGCAAACAGACCGTAGCATGCTTGCTCGCAAATGAGCTGCTCCTCACTTGACGCAGGTTTTGATCCACTCGGCAGAAAGTCCAACGCAGGGCTGTTGGTTGTAACTTTGCAATTGGAATCTAAAATATTGTTTTCTTTGACATTCAAGTTTGACTGGATGCAACTGAGTAGTGGACCAAGCGAGAAACTCCAAGGAGTTCTTCCAATGTAGCCTAGCCGCTGTCAGGTCTCCACCAAAGCCCGAGACCATGAAGTCCCAGCTTCGGCCCGAGAGCCGATGAGAGCCGTTGAGAGCCCTGTGTCAGCTCTAGGAACTCACCTTTGTGCAGATGGCATTTTGAAGGGGGCCCAGGAGTTTAGCCAAACAGCTCCTCAGCTGCTTCCAGACCCAAAAGCTGGTGAAGCGTGAGGATGATCTTTGATTAGGCTGGCAGAGGTCCATTTTCCTAGGTGTTTCCATCGAGGATTTGCATCAGTGTGCAGTAGTCGACATGTCCAATAGGTGCGCTTTATTCTTGACTGCCTGCATAAGTGCAAGAATGGACATATGTATATATATATATATATATATGTATATGTGTATATGTGCATATATTTATATGTCTATATATATATATGTATATATATATATATATATACATATATCCTTCAATTTTGTAGGGGTTTGCAAGAGTTGGCGGAAGTGCCGCGCTTCTCTCGGCAGCTGCCTCGCCGTTTGTATGGGGTGAAAAGTCTGAGGCCCAGCACGCCCCGAAGCTCGAAAGATCCTGCGGGCCTAGGGCGCGGGCCGCAGCTGGCTCCATAGCTCAAGAAAAGGAGGCAGCGATGGCAACGCTGTTTTTGGCCAGAGTGGCTTGCGGCTTAAGGGACCCTGGATTGTTGGTGGTTTGGTGGGTGGGTGGGTGGCTGGCTGGCTGGTTGGCTGGCTGGCTGGCTGGCTGGCTGGATGGATGGATGGATGGGTGGCTGGCTGGCTGGCTGGCTGGCTGGCTGGCTGACTGGCTGGCTGGATGGATGGATGGGTGGTTGGGTGGGTGGGTGGGTTGGCAGCGTGGCATCACTTGGCCCCTTGGGGTTCGCCCTTGGGGTCCGCCCAGGACCCACCCCCGGGCATAAGCTCCATGTTGCATTCTCAACGCTGATTTGAAGCCACATATTTTCCTCGAGCGCGGATTTACGACAGGTTGTCAAGATTGCTTTTTGGGTTGTTTTTCCATCCCTGTACTTCTGTTTTTTCGCACTCCCAGAACATCTCCTTTGTTGGCCATTTGACCGCTTAAGTGTAGACGGCGCAAACCATCCCCAGTGCCCCCATGATTCATTGAATTCTGGGCCGTGTCGCATGTTGCCCAGTATTCGTCAGCAGGACATGTATGACTCCTGACATTTTTTTAGCACTTGGGTTGTTCTGCTGGTTCGGTGTGGCTGTTGAAGAAGCGTAAGCAGCTCTCCAGTTGCTTCACATCACAGCACGTTAATCAGCAGCTTGCAAACATCATATATTTTATTTAGGTGCTGAGGGTGCTTAAAAGAAGATGTGTTTTGTTCACGTGTTGTTTCTTCATTTGGCTCAAGGCCGAATGGCCGTTTGGCTCAAGTTTTTACCTCCCGTCAAGTGGGAATAGGACTCACGCTCGAGCGCCATTCACTGGCAGCTTTCTTCGTCCTCGAGCCGAAAAGGGTCGGGGCCGCGGGCGGCTGGGTGTAGGAGGTGCTCGGTGGGTCGCGCTGTTCTACTTGGGCTTGGTATTGAACTTAATCCTCTTCAACTTGATTTCAAACATCCCCATACTTCTCCTTTGTCAACCGTCACTTCCTCAACCCGGTCATCATCCACAGCTTCACCCGAGTTGTGTTTCCGGGTGCTTTGGGTACATCGTGATCTACTTTGTGCTCATTTGCTTCCCTGGGCTACTTCGTGTTCGCCCAAAACCGCAGGTTATCAGCCGTAACAGCTAGAAGCTGGGGCTGGTGATCCGGTTGCGGGACGTGACCCGCCACCTGCTCCCTCGCCTACTCGTACGAGCAACGGCGTCCCCCGGAGCTTCACATCGTGGGCCGGGCTTCGTGGATGACGAGGCCAACGCCCTTCGCGGCAACGCCGCGCCTGCTGCCCCCGGCTTAGACAGCCGGCTGTGGCCCATTCCCCCGATGGTGGGCGCAGAGCCCAATCCCGGGGTGATCACGGACGATTGGATCCTTTCTCAGGTCGTGTTTGATGAGGATGCGGAGGCCCCTATCCCGGCGGCAGTGCTTCAGATCGAGGACGGACCCCCTCTAGAAGAGGCTGAGGTTCCTCCAAATCAGGTGCCCTCGTCGATTTCGCCTACTGTTCCGTTCGTGGCGCTCCAGATCGAAGACCGGGCTGTCCATCATGCTGCTCATCCGGAGCCGGCTCAATCCTGGTCCCTTACATGGGATCAGTTTGACCAGATCCTCGGCAGTGGATCGCAGGCTACACCGCCTGATTTCGGTCGGCTCGACTTTAACTCGGGTGCCCCCATGCCGGTTGGGAATCTGGATTTCCAATCCCTTTTTGATGCCGATTGGAGATCTCAGCCTTCCCGAATTGACAGATCTTTTGATGCCCTGCCTACGCATGAGCCTACTCAGGGTTTTCCTCATGATGGAGAAAATGACCCCATTGAAGATTTCTCCCCTTCTCAAGTGCAGGTTCGGCCCAATCCGAGGCGGGCAAACGGGCGATTGAGGATTGGCCGCAAATAGCTGGCCCTCCTCCCATCTCAGGTTCATCCGACATTGACATCATTCACGATCACCCCAGTCCGGCGGATATGGACTTCATCCCTGACGCAGTATCATCTCACCTGTCAGGTACCCGCGACCGGAATGCGGACCGCTACAACGCTGGTCCGTATCCACCGCTTTCCTCAGGTACCCGAGGTCGGGACGCGAACCGCTACAACGCGGGCTCAAATCCGCCAATTCGGGCATCAGGTACTAATCGATCGGACGCGGGCCGCGAAACAGCAGGCCCAAATCCTTCCTCCACCTCGTCAAGAAGCCATGCCGGTCTCTTCGCGGCGTTCAATCGGCGTCAGACTCGAAAAGAGTCCGCCCCCGACGTCATCGACCTCGAGGAGCAGTCCAGCCACCGTACCAGTGATGGATCCGAGCAGGATACACCTGGTATTGGCTCTACTCCCTTCGACCTCCTCGACATCCCCTTCCATCAGCCACCCAGGAGAGGAAATGAAGATGATGAAACCATCCCTGGGATCCTTGATGTAATCGATGAAACCGAGGTCACACCAGAGAGACGAACGACATCGCTCCCGCCGAGCCGCGTCGCCAAAGTACTTTCCCCTAAGCCACTCAATGATGACGTTGCTCAACGGCTTGATCTCACTCAACCTGATCCAGATCAAGCTCAACTTCGTGGATCATCATCGTTTGATAACGTGTCGGGACAAACCGGCACTGACTCACGAGCCACAAAGAGGAGCTCTGAGTCACCCGAGAGACGTGAAGCTGCTCTGCGATTGCGATCTAATCCCCCAGCTCATCACGATCCTGTTGACATTCCTATCCACTCTGCGGGGTCTGGGCTCAGCTCCAATGCCCCGATGTCTGAGAAGGAGACTGATGACGGGATCAACTCTACGCCCAGGAACCGGAGACCTGGACTTAGCACCGTTGCCCCTGGAAATGGAGGGCTTCCGTCAAATCAACCGGTCAACAACTCCCTCATCCCCGCATTCTTTCAAATCGGAACTCCGGGCTGCACTCCCGACAGGGAAGAAAATAGGCGCGGAGCTCATGACGCTGATAGTCGTCCTGCTCCGTCTGCTTCCACAAGTGGCGGCCATCCGGTTGCATCTGAGCTTCAACGACTGCTTCTCGCGATCCACAACGAGGTCAAGGGATGCAAGGCCGAAATCCAGGGATGCAGAACTGAGATTCGTTCATGCAGGGATGATATCAACGCTTGCGTCGGTGAAATCAAGAAGATCAATAACCGTGTTGACGCCTTCGAGAAGAAGGTTGAATCATCTTTTTCTGCCGTTGCCGGAACCCTCTCAAAACACGAGGCCAAGTTCCGTGATTTCCACGAGTGGGTCGCCCGAAGCGAGAAGGAGATGAACGAGCGTTTCAAGATGTATGATGAGAGGTCTGACTCGATCGTCATATCCGCTGCTGAACTTCGCGAGCAGGCCGAATCACTTGAGAACGTCAAGGTCCAGCTCCTTAGGTTCTCTGAGATCGGGGCCCTTGAGGCTGAGGTTCGGAGAATCAAGGACGAAGTTGAGGCGAACTCTCGCAGTGTCATTGACATTGAGGGAACCATCTCAAGGGAAAGAACCATCCGTGGGAACGTCGAGACGTATATCCAGCAGCTCGTTCCTGCGACCGACCTGAAGCAGTTCAGTGATAGGATGTCCGGAGCCCTCAATGAGAACTCACAGAAACAGGAAGAATTCAAGCATCAATTGTCCCGTGTTGCTAGGTGCGTCAAGGATCTTCATGACAAAAGCCTGGGCCCCTATCCGAGGGACATGCAAGAGCAGTTTATGAAGCTTGTGTTGAGGGTCAATGAGATCAACATGCAGATTGCTGAATTGAGGGAACAACCTCCTGCTGCCTGCGCATCTTCAAGTACTGGCTCTGCTTCGATCGCCGGGACGGGGCCCTGGGAGAAATCTGGAGACACTGATCCCTTAACCCAGGGAAGGGCTCCTAGAGGTTCTCCTCCTCGTGATGCTCGCATCGTCAGCTCGGCGAGACCTCCTCCACCTCCACCTCCTTCAGGGCCACCCCCACCGTCACCATCAGCCCCCATCTTTGGCAGGGATCCCTCTAGAACGAGGGCCATTGCTCGGGCTGCCGGCGCTGCCCCTGATAACCGGGCCAGGTGTGCTCATGAGGAGCCCGGGCATCCACAGCATCGGGAACCTCGCTATCCATGCCGAAGCTGCGGCAAGTCAGTCTGCGAAGACTGCTTTGACCATGATTGTAACTCATGTTTCAAGTGCAGCGATCAGTTTCCTAGATGCCGCGCATGCAGAGGAAGAGGGGGGAGACACGGACTTGTGACGTGTCTCATATGCAAGGACGAGTACTGCGATCAACACATCGCTTCACCTGACGATGTGCTCGGTTGTCTGAGAGCTGATCCCGATGGGAAAACTAAGCATCGCGGTCCCAGTGCGGGACCTGGAGGACCTGATTGCATTCCTGACCATAATCAGCGGGATGGCACTGCTCCTGATCCTGGATCCGGGCCATCACGTGGAGATCCGTCACATCGGAGTCCTGAACCGCATCAAGGGAACTCTGGTTTCTGCTCTCACGCCGGAGCTGCCGGGCCAATGCCGCCAAGGGCAATGTCTTCGCCCGTAGTCGGGCGAGCAGTTCCGAGGGGGACCATCAACACGTATCCCGGATGTTCCCCTACAGGGGGGATTTTCACTGGTCAGGTTGAGCATGGAACATCTCAGGGAGTCATTCGCGGAAGATACGGGCCTGACACTGCTGTGACAAATCAGCAGAATCCACAGCCTCACCACGGAGTACAGGATAACTCTGGCGGGCCAGCTGGTTTCTCTCTTCCACCGGGACTCGGTAAGGGTGTGCGTGGCGCCGGTGGTGTCGGCGGTATTGGAGCTCCCGACCTTCGCCGATCTTCCGCTGAGGAGAGGGTCTGCCCTCGTTGCAACATCAATGTCAAGTCCAGCATCCCCGGGACACCTCCATGCTTCCAAACCTGTTCGTTGTGCCGCACTTCCTTATGTTCCGCGTGCTGCCCACCATCGTCTGGG